ATGTTTTATAGTAATAGATAAAAATCACGTGCAGTTTGAACTAATGGGTAGAACAGACAACAAGCAACTAAAAAAAGCTTTTAAACACAATTTAGAAATAACTACAATTCTTATTTATGGCAACTATTTCCAGGGTTTTCTAGGTAGAGAATACACAGAATAGTTTTCCATTCCCTTCAAGATATAAGTCCACCTGTTGCCTAAAGATCAGTTCACACTACCATTGCTAATGTATACAAAGGAAACAGTCCCTTAATTTGAATCGTGTTACAAAGAAGGACCTTTGACCAGCTGTCATCTACTTATTTCCCAAAAAAGAAGGAAGGGAACACACAGAGGAGTTTTCAAATATTACTAAAATTAGTTGCAGAATCATACAAAGTTGACTAGTTGGCACAGGGTGATCATGCTGAAATGTTTATGAATTGGTCACTAACATGCTTATGAACTGGCCCCCTGGATCATTTAGGAGAAAGGGCATACATAAATATTTTAAATAAATAAAAGAAATAATACCTGTGATGTTAATCCATGCACACTTCCACTATGAATTTATTAGGAAGCAACATCTACCATAGTTTGAAAAATGAGGACATAGACATTTTATCCTAATTCTTCAAAAAAAGCATACAGTAGATTTTTCTTCATTTTGAAAATTTAAAAATAACATCAGATTTGCTGCCTTCTCATCCTGCTTACTCACATAAGGTGCCCAGACTTTGTCCATGCAGTAACAAAAATTAAGAGTCACAATGTGTAGTGGGTGGATTTCAACAACACATGTCAACTGAGCCACAATAATGCCAAGCCACAGACATTAAAGCACCAGTCTAGGATGACTACTTTACAAGCTCAATGTTTGTTAATACTTTTTGCAATCTTGAACCACAGTTTCCTGGAAGTTAAAAGTGCATAAAGAGTAAACGTATTGTGTACATATTCACAGGATGAGAGTACACAGGCACTTAGAAAGAACGCACTATAAACATTAAAAGATCCACGTGTTACAAGAATAGTGGCATTGTTCTTATTACAAGGAATCAAGTGAAAATGCCAATTGCCTAGGAAATTAGAGCCACTGGAAAACACATACAAACACACTTCGTGTGTGTGTGTGTTTAATTCTAAAGTAAGGCTAAAATCCAACACAATAATAAGTATTTCATTGAAGTCAGTTTACTTATAAAACATGCATAAAATCAGGCTGCTAGTCTATTCAATGCATCAAAATAAAAACTACTGATAACGTAATACGTAACTGCTTCCAAGTGTATGAAAATGCCTGTTGTAGAGCTATACATAAACACTTCAAGAATCTCAGCAATACTGTATGCTTCTATATATGCCATCATAAACACTGCTACAAATAGATTGTCTTTAACACTCAAAATATATATACAGTAGTGCAGACATAACATATGGAAGACCAAGATACATAGCCGACATCACCAGCCTTAATATGCATACAATTTAGCACTTCCCCCTTTTGAAATAAGCAAGCAAGAAAAGAGTTATATGTGAAGCTGGAAGTTACAGTTACAAAATGTAGAAAGACATCCTCATCCATTTTCAAAATAAAAATTAATTAGTCAAAATACTCATTTATTTCCCTCACAAAAGCAAGCCTAGGTTTGATTCCCCTTCCCAATTGATCAGACAATGCCTCACCCCACTTTCACTGGAGTCATTAAAAACTTGTATCACTAACTGTTTCATTACTATTTAAAATCTTACGTTTGAGAGTAACTGTAAAATTAAACTCCAACAAATCCTTATTTTCCTAACTAAAACAGGAAGTGTAGTGTGGTGCTAATGAATCAGAGCTACGAGGAAGCATTACAAATTCAATGATACAACATTAACCAACTCATTATCAATTATCTGTGACATGTCGACAGAAATATCAAAAACTGCTGCAATTATATTTATTTAATTTATATACCTTTCCATAGCGTAAGATACTGTACATACACCTTATAGTGTTTTGAATACTTAGATTATTACGGTATATCAATTCAGATACAGTATAAATATTAACACAGAAAACATACACCAGCAGGCTTTCCAAAAGAAGGGGGATAAACACAGAAGGAAGGATGGGGAAAGACTCCAGAAAAGACAGCAAACTGTCCTTAAACCATCTGCACTTTGGAAGATACTTCTGAAGGCATTATGTTAGCACTAGATACAACCCTAAGTACTACTAGTCTTATTAAAATCGATTAATATGTAAGTTGGCTGGAAAACTCACTGGTTTGGTTTGGGAGTTCAATTGCCTATTATGTCTCGTAGAAGAGCCAGCTGTATGATCTTGGACAAGCTACATGGTCCACAGAGTGTCCACAAAAGACGAGAATGGTAAACCACTTCTAAGTACTGTATATTCAGGAATTCCTGAAAAGGTTGCCATAAGTCAGAAATGACTCTTCTGGCACAAAGTCATTATTATTACTATTACATACCATCTAAAATTGATATTTCAAGTTACCACTGGGAACTTTATGGAAGGTCTAATCCTATACAGTACTGTACTTTTCCACTGCACATTTATTTAACAATAGTCAAAATTCTCTTGCATAATTCACACCAGCACAGGAGAGATGACATCACTGGCAGATTGCCACTGATTAAATACCTGCTTCAATACCTTTTTGCTTCAGCTTTGTCTCATTGGCTAAAATCCTGTTGTGAAGTTACATAAAAGGCATAACTAAATCTCCATAGGCATTATCTTTTGCATACCAAGTTCCACAACTCTGTGAGCAACAAATAATGTCTACACAGATTTCTTAACTTACAGCCATTTGCTGCCAAAACAACTTTGTGTAACTGTGCAAAAAGATTTCAGCTATTGTGTGTGAGTTGTACAGTATTGTGGAGTCAAAACAGGGATTCTTTAATTAACCAAAATTTGCTGCTATGGGTGACATCACTTCCCCTACATGGGTATAAGTTACGGGAAGAAGATTTTCGTTTATATGCCCTACTATGTTTAAAGGGAGTTATTTCTTCTCTACCAGCTGGGTAAAGTACTGCAATCCATGACTGAACACCTTACAGCTCTGCCTTCACAATTCATTTGAAACAACACAGTACAGTATTCTATTAGCTTTAGCTTGAAGAGGTTAAGAGATGGAATCAAATGCAGGTATCCAATGTCTATATAACAATACAACTATTACACAAGAAATTGTGTTTTAGAGAAATTATCATAAACATAGAGGTAAAGAAGAGGGAAAAAAGTAATCTACTACCAAAAAATTAAAATCCTTTACTATTGCTTTATTTCCAACCACTCCAGAGAGTATGCAGAATAATTTCTGATTTTTATTTAAAGTGTCTAAAACAGGGGCACCTTCAAAAAACTATCAGCCACTATGAGAGGCATATACTCTTAGGAAAAGCAGACCACAGGTCTTGAAAAACACCCAGAATGGGAAAGGATACAAGAAACCGAAAAATGAACATTCCATTCAGACTGTTTCTTTTTCTGAGCTTTCAGGTTGAATCTGAACCAGGGTTATCATGTAATTAAGGGTTGTTTTTTAATCAGCTGAATTTCTGCATTTAATAAATTAAAATAACTACGTTATTCAGTCACAGCTACGTAGGTTGATAATGTTCAGCAAAGATGTTTTTCTTGATTAAATACATTACCCAGCCCCAAAAATCTACATAGACAACACTTACAAAATTAACATTTTCACTAGAAATAGCTCCCCAAACAGAAAAAACACATTTTAAGTATCCACCAAAGACTATAAATTAATTAACAATACTTTCAGTAGTAATGCGTTCATTAACTGACTGCAGTATGATGGGCATTTAAGTGCACTATTGAACAAAGTCAAGCGATGGCACCATGAGGGGAATCCCAAGCCTCTTTCAAAGGAAAATTGGGAATTGGGTTTCACTCCAGAGTATCTGAGGATTTTATCTAGCTAACAGTTAAGGCTGTATGTATCATTCTCTGCAAGCCAATACCTGGCACATTTTAAAAATATGTGTCATATAAAGATGCACCAGAAAGGTAAGGATGGAGGAGAAGACTATTGATGCCAGCCTATGAGCTGTGAGAATTAACATTCTGATACATGCATTGCATATTCTCATCACAGAGAACCACAGAGAAGGATACACTAACCTTACACTTCAAGCCTTCAGTGCAAATGGGATAAAGCAGGGCATAAAACACATTTAACATACAAGTCTTGAAGCCTAAATTTCATTTTTAAAGACTACAGGAGGCAAAGAAAAGCAATGAAAGATGCAAAATATGAGTCCACCTCACCCTTGCATACGTATAATTACTCATCCCTAACTCATGATGGGGGTCAAGGTTTGAAAAAGAAATCTCGGAAAGACCATACGCATAATAAACCACGAAAATACAAGGGAAAGGAGAAGCCATGAAGGAAGAAGGGATGCCTGGGGTGCCCCTCTTACCCTTTTTTATTCTATCATCTAGGCAGTATCCAACACACTAGAAGTCTGACGAGATCGATTACAGCAAAGCGCCCACGGTCACCGTTACACCACCACCACCATTATTAGGACCCCATATTAATAGATACAGGATCTGACTTAGCTGTGCGCTTGCCGTTGCTGTGCCTGCTGACGATGGGGAGATGATGGGGGCCGCGCCTAGGGAGGAAAACCCGAACACTTCCCCCCCCCCATTAAAAAAATAAAATAAAATACAAGTCTCAGGGGAATAAATGCAAAAATGATTTGTGGTGGAGATGAAGGAGCGTGAAGAAAGAGGCTGCCCCCACACTAATATCATCAAGAAGCGCTTGTATTTTAGGAGGGAGGAGGCGAGGGGCGGGCAGGAGGAGGGGGGGGAAATGTG